CTGTCAGTCACCCTTGATAACTTTCAAGTCTAGAAGCCAAGTTCAGTTGTATTTGGGCGGGAGAAGTCCTGCTCATGCAAGGATCCTACAGGAAGGTTAATCCTTACTGGACCTCAGAAAATCCACACTGTCATTTACTCTTCAATCACAGAGTCATGGGAAAACAAGCTTCACTGGTTCCCCCAATCACTGAAATACTTAATGTCAGTACAAGAGGGACACTAGGCCTACAAACGTACACAATGTCAGGATACCGAGTGCAGTGGTGGTGTGACTCTGCTTTGAGCCATATATAGAGAGTTGGATTGAGCACAAGAACTGAAGCACAACAGAGCAAAGCCACCACTGCATGCCACAGGAATGGATGAAAAATGAAGAGAGTTGCTTGCCAATGAAGAAAATTATACATTTGTAAATCTTCTTGCTTCAAAATGAGCCACAGAACAGGTCATATAATACATACTGGCAAAATGAATATATTATGAATGATTTATCATTATGGAAAAGCGCAGATGCTTATTGGTGGCATGACTCATATAATATGCAATTTTCACACAATATGTTGTTAATAATGGATAAGGATTTATCAGTATATTCTTATACAAAGAAAGAATAATATTAAAACTTGTTCTTTTACTAGAATCAAATAACTTACGATGCACTGAGTTGCTTATGAAATTGAGCTACTCTTGCCATTACTACTAATTACACTTTAATGCCAAATTTTTAAAGTAGATATACATCAACTTACTGCTGTAACTCATCACAGATCAGATCCACCTTACTATTATACCACTAAGCCAAAATAGATGCTCTTTCCTGTGCCTACCTACACTAAATGAAGAGAAAAAAGGGAGCAAGTGCTACCTTGTCCTAGTTTGTAGCATGCACCTGCAGGAAAACTCTTAAAATTGGCCCTGCCTCTGATGCTTGCTTCACAGGTAGATGGGAGGACTCGCTCCTATTTAACCAGGGAATTTTCAAAACAGAAGTTCAGCTATGGTCAAGTCCTCTGAATAGCTTGGCTGACGAGTGATGTAAGATAGCAGGACAAAACAAGTGTGGGACAAGAGGCCAGGAACCCAAAAGTTGTTGTCAACAATACTCAGAGCCCTCTCCCCTATACATGCCTTAATCAGACCCTTTGTGGATCAAGCTGGAGCAATTCAAGAATGGACAGTCCTCTTCCCAAACACTGCTTGCTGCCACCTACCAATGTGTCTTCCCTCCACAAATGAATAATCTCAATAAATCATGCCGGATGCCTCAGCTTCCTCAGTCCGAAGTGAGCTGGGCCAACTTATGCCATACCAGAGATGGTCTAAACACTGCAGAACTTGCAGTCACATTGATGTAGAGTGCTTACATTATCCATTCTGGTCCCTGAGTGTGAGAGTCTGACAAGTCCTTCCTCAGGAAAGATAATGAACAATCATCGTAACTGCTTGACCTGAAATTTCCAAAGAGTTCCTGCAATAGAGCCATCAAAGGCAAATTAATCCATCAGAAAGTACACGGATGTACCACTCTGACTGCATGGCACACAAAGCACCTGAAAACTTCACTTTATGTTGATTAGAAAATCAACATACACAGAAGACAAACTGAATGTCAAGAACGCCTGATGCATGTTACACAAAGCAATACATTTTCCTCTTCTGTCTAGGGAAAACAGAATCTGTATTTGTGCCAGACAATGCAGGAGAGTTTTTGTATCTTGCCAATTCCATTTAATTTAGAAAGCAAATATCTTCACACAGTTAATTGAAAGACCATTGATCGAGAGGTTCATAAACCAGCAGCTATGTAAAAGGAAAGCCCAATGGTAAATGACCACGTTAGATAGATATTAGTGCATAAATTGCATTCATTATTGTCTTTATTGTTACCGTAAAAAAAAGGAACTTGGAAAATCCATCTGTTCCCACAGATGGAAGTCCCCTGACATGAGGCTCCAGAAAGTCAGGAACCCACATTCAGCCTTCGTTGAAAAGAGACAATTGCTGTCCCTGCCCTGCCGGAGCACTGAGAGGACAATGGCTCCTTTTAGAGGTCTTCTCCATTGACATCGTTTTATTCCCTCTGTTTTCCAAATAATCTGGCCCAAATATGCAAATACCAAAATTTTGGTATCCCCAGAACTCCAATTCCCTGCCAAGAATATTTATTATTTTCAAAAAAAAAGAAAAGTCATGTACTCCGAGAAGAGGGATAATACCAAGGCACTCTGAGGACAGATGATGCTTTCTTACTTCCTACACACATTTGTTTATATAGGTACATACAATCACCCTTCATTAATCATTACTGGTCCAGTATCTTTTCCCTCCCCATCTACCACATCCCACTATAAATAACATCTTACAGAATAGTCTCAGATAATGCAAAGGGGAAGCATTGTCCCTTGAAACTATATAGAGCTGTGCTTATTCCCATCATACTTCACTTTTTCCAGCACGTTTCTGGAAGAAATGCCAGATCTTTGAACCCAACCTTTTTTGCTGTCAGCCAGGGCCAGAAGGATTACACACAGCAAAGAAACAAAGAGCAAATGAATGTAAATAGTGTGTAAAACAATACGTGAAAGTGGCACACAAAAGCCAGTGACTGATTAAAATTTGTTCTTTTCTCACAGGGGCTCTTAGTTAGCTTACTAATACCATTCTCATCTATTTTAACAATTTCATGATCTGTCACATAAAAAATGGGGAGAATCTTTCACACCATCTCCATCTGGGGAAGTTCACCTGAGAGAAACTGTTCCCTTTTCACTTCCAGCTCTGTGAATGGGATTTCCTTCTGCCCTGGGAAGGCAGCCATTTACCCCCACACACTGTGTCCGGCAGGTTCACCTCAGATACCAGTAGCAAGCCACCTGTGTAGACACACATACACACACTCTTCAGCTCTCTGCACATAGCTGTGCTTCCAGATGTTACCCCTACATCTGGCTATCAGGTCAGCACTCCCATGTGGTTGACCCCTTAGTCTCAGCTCAAGCCGCTTAGCTCAGCTGGCAAGGCAAAGCAATGCTTTTGTGTCCAAAATCTAGTGGCCCGTATCTTGGGCATGGGATTACTCCTGATCCCTGAACTCATCCCCCAGAGTTCAGAGAGCTCATGGGAGAAAATCCATTACCTCTCTGATGCAGGTATACTATTTATCTGGAATGAATAAGGGGAATGATGGCAGGTGGGCGGGCATTGAAGCTGGGCTAAAAACGGAGTATTTCACAGGAATTACCAGGCAGGATCATACACATTGCCTATCTAGTCCATTGTTTGCCAGAGGGTTCACTAGAAAGTATGAGAGTTAGGCAATGTGCAACATCTCCGCAGCCCTCTTAGGTCATTCTCTCCTCAGTAAGGCTTCAAACTCCCTCTGGAATTGCTTACTCTTGTTGCCTTCAAGGAGACACCCCCAACACACTGTCGTTCTACCTTAGATGATCCCCAATAATTAGAGGAGTTGGGGGAGACAGGGACCATGTATCTATGGGGAATGGGAACAAGACAGTCCAAGCTTGCTGCTTCTGCTGCTACTGGATAAGGATTAAATTGTGGGAGAGGGAAATAAGTTGTTGTTATTTCTCCTAAGAAAATAATTCACTGGATTATATTTTTCTTCTTTTTTTCAGTTTAAATGGCTCTAGTAAACAATTTAGGTGATAGGTTTAGTATTTCCTGTTATCTTGGCCAGGTTAGACATGCAGTCATGTCAGAGCAGTTTCCAACATATGACCCGTGGTTCTCATGAGTCCAAAATGAGCTCTAATACAAAGCTGCTTAAGGCCTCCAGGATCTCAGTTTCGGAGAATCTCAGGCAGAAACGATTCCATGCATGCCACACAACTTTAAGTCCATAAAACCACACAACTTAATTCTAAAATGAGGTTACTTGCAAATCCTTCAGCTCCACAGTGCAGTAAACACCGTAACATACTGTCCACAGAAAAACAGTCCATACTATCCATGCTGCCCACAGCATAAAACATGTTCTCTTGGGACACCTTTGCAAGTGCTGTGACAGAATAGACATTTTACAACCCTGGTGCTGAACTGCAAAATAACTTGTCTGGAGCCCAGCTTACCAGTATGAGTATTTACCATGTGCAATCAGATTTCTCCCTATGCAGCTGATTTTAAGTATTAACGTATGAGAGTTAGGAAATAATTTCAAGAACTTAAGTATAACAAATGGAAGAAGAACACAACATAGTTTTTTTCTTCTGGCTCACCTGCCTATCTAACAACCAATTCAATGTGTACTTTAAGATCGCGTTTAGTGTGCAGCCTGAATCCCCTTCTGGGACAGAACCTGCATGGGCAGTCCAGTGCTTTCACCGTTTGTAGCAAAGTGGCAGATGCCTTTCTAAAAACTACTGTTGGAAATTTGGCCTTAATATAGACCTAACACAACCTTTGAAATTTAACTGATGCACAGGGTTTTAAAATCATGTTCCTCATTCAGTCTGAACACAAATGAACATGTTCAATTTAGAGCACAGACACTATGTACGTCAGTAAATCTCACTGATGCATAACAGCTCTTAGGCCCTGATCAACCACATCATAGACAGCACTTGATTTCAATGGGCCAAATGTCGCTAGCTGTACATAACTATAAACAAGCAAAAGGACCATTTAAGCAGAAGAATCCTTCTGAGGACACTGATACAAAAGAAACAAACCAGTTGGTTTTGTCTACCAGTGATGGAACATTGTGGCTATTCTAAGTCCCTACTGTTATGGCTCTCAAATTTAGCTAATTAAGACATATTTCACCAGAAGAAAATAATTGTAAAGTCAGCGTGTCCTTAACAAGAAGATATGTTGGTTAAAAGGTTCACAAAAGAAATTCCCAACATTCTTCAAAGGTATTCAAATCACTTCCTTAATTAATATTAAGAATTGAAGCTTTTGAGACTGATGTCATAGGGAACAAAATCTTTTTGTTGTCTGATCATATAAAATGATGGCAGTTTTCTTTCCTGTACAGATTCTGAGCTCTCTAAGTAAGCTTAATTTGAGAAAAATGAAAACAATTTCAACCAAGGAGCTTACTCTCTTTGCTTTAGCTACAGTGGTCTTTCTAACATCGAATATTATGTGCCTAGATGAACTGATGAAGTCCAGTCTGCAAAGCAGAGAAGACAATAATGATAAATATTACAAGGTAAGACCTGTATTACTATGACATTATTTGGGGGAACTGTGGGTCAGATCCTGAGCACTTCGAATTTTCTGGCAAAGGCTGTCCTAACCTCATTACACAGTATTCAGCATTACAGCATTAGCAGTATGAAAGAGGCACATTGAAAGAATTTTCAGGAAATTCATTTGCTCAGACACACGTGCTGTGTAAATCAATTCAAGTTTCAATTTTCTTGCTATACAGCCTGGTGATCAGGTTGAGACTTTTTCTGAACTGTTTCTTACTTATACAACAGGGCCTCAATTAACATTCTTGTCAGGCATTTTATGCACATAATATAACAGATACATTATTAAACCAAAATTAATAAAGGCATGCTTGTAATACTCAAAGAATAATGATAAACAGAGAACATTATAAATCTAATATAGTTAATGGCCTTAAAATTCTACTCTGGAAATTGACTATAAAAATATCTTTGCAGGGTTGCACATTTATTATATCTCAATAGATGCCAAATCAAATTTGCACAGTTCATCTGTGTTATTTTTCTTGTCTGCCCTGCAAATACTCCCTGGGAAATGAGAGCCAGCCTCTCTATTTGACTCATTGTCATTGGAGTAATAAAGATCCTTCAAACCAAAATACAACTTTAATTATGCTAGTGAAATCGTAGCCGTCTTTTATGCACTTCAGAAGGGGTGTGCAGGTGCAATCAGAGGTGCAATTAAATAGTTTATTTAATATTTTAATCATGGAGTAGGAACTAGAATGTTTCATTCTCCTTCTCTCCCAGTAGCTGGAGAAGCTCCTGGAGAAGTCACCAAATGGGGATAAGAAACTGAAATTAGGATTAGTAGCATTTGTGTCTTTAACTGAAATTTAAAAATGTATTTGTACATATTTGCTGTTAAGGCTTGGAAACTTCATTTTCTTGCAAAAATAAGTGATTTTCAATATGCCCAGGGAAGGAACACTGCTATATAGGAAAGGGTCATGTTGACAGAGCTATTTTTCAGGCAACAGCTGCCCTTTACATCATGAGACAGGTAATATACTAGGCTCAGTTCTTCACTATATGCCAGCGTAGGCACAGAAAGCAGATTTTGTGCTAGTTGTACAAAAATTAGGAGCCCAGCACCATCTAATGCATCTTGTACACTAGTGGAGGACTAAAGCAACTTAAAGCTCAGAGCAATCTCTGTGGTGCAAGGCCAGAACAGGCATGATGTGGACTTGACCGAAACGCTTTCCATTCATTTCCCTGGCTGTTAGCCCAGTGTGATATTGGGTCAAAAGCAGCCACCCCATACTTAGGAATAAATGAGCTACATCTTCAGGTAGCTTGGCCCATCCTCCTGTTCATCCAAATCAGATGAGTAAGAGGCTGGGTCTGTGTCAAGTCACTAAATATAGTCAGCATCTTCCCCTCCAGGCAGCTTCAGTTGGTGATTTTACCAAATCTGGACCTGACAATGACTCCTGTCCACACTTTACTGATGGCACAGCTACTGACACCTATGCCCAGAAATATTTCCAACTGACACTATATGCACAGCTGTGGATACTGATAAGAGACGTGCTCTTATGGTCAGTGTGCTGAAAAGGTACGCAGGACAATGTCTGCATATGAAGTAATCCATATGAAGCAGCTCACACTACAATGGAGTTTAGCAAATACAGCTAAAAAGTCTTAGATATCCAAAAAAGAGTGTTACCCAGTGGCTATCTAAGGAGATATGAAAATGAATGCTTGTTGTGATTGGTAGCTGGAGTAATGCCCTATAAAATGATAGCACCCTTTTTTAAATTTTTTTTTTTAGATTAAAGATAATATCTTGGAAGAAAAGCAGAGAAGTCTCAATTTTGAAGAAATGAAAGACTGGGGATCAAAAAATATCATTAAAATGAGCCCTCCTACAGTAAACAAGATGCCAAATTCAGCAGCTAATTTACCTCTCAGGTTTGGAAGAAATTACCCAGAAGAAAGAAGCATTAAACCGAATGCTAATATGCCTCTGAGATTTGGGAGAGCTTTTGGAGACAACATACCTAGGCGTGCTCCAAAGGTATCACACAGGCTTGAGAGATCTCCATTTGTTAAAAGTTCCAGTCAATCACTTCTAAATTTGCCACAGAGATTTGGGAAGTCGCTGTCTGTCAACCTGTCTCAAGACGTTCAGGAATATGAACCAGGTAATACTACACAAGTGTTCAAGCCATGTATTAAAATGCATGTTAAATCAGATTAGCAATGATCAGATACAACCATCCTTCCTCGGGGGATATTCCCCAAGCATTTTAATATGAGTCCAATTTGACAAAAGAAAGATCTGCAGTTCATCAAATCAAAGAGTCTCATCACCAGAACTAGTAGGCAATCTCTTTAAGAAAACTTTTCTAATCAGAAGATGCCAAGCAGCCAAAGCCGAAAATGTTCATATGATCAGATTAGATTTGACAACACATTTTTAGATCAAGTTTCATTTTGAAAAGTTTAAAGCTTTGGTGAAAAAGGTTTGTAATCATTAAAATATCCCATTTCAGCACTATAAAATGACCATACAAAATTACCTAAAAATTACTCTTCCATTTTCTCATTTTATGCAAATTAGATTTAAAAAAAGAGACTAAATTCCAAGATGAATTGCAGCATTTTTAAAATGCTGGGGTTTTTTCTCATCTGAAACTATTTTTTTTTTCAGATTGTCTTACTGAGACAATGTTTGAGATTTTGATTTTTCATTCTAAGTTAAGATGAAAAATATTTTTTGACATCTCAGAAATTTTTTCAGGATAGGAAAAATATTTCCTGACCATTACTAAGAATAATTTAAACCTGCTCTTCAATAACAGTCCTTGCTATTATAAATGCTGTTTTATCTGTCTGGGAAGCAAGTTTCAGTTGGCTACGCCTGACTTGCATCTGACACATATGTGAAGTAGTAGTTCAGCTGAGGAAAGACAACTGATATATCAGAAGCCAAGTTTCTTTCTTATTTAATTTGATTCCTTTCATTCCTTTCTTACTGTCTCACCTGATTATAACAGATTTTGTTTTATTTGTCTGATATTTTTAGGGATATGAATTCTAACAGTTACGTTAGAATGGAATGAGCTCATGAAGACAGAAACTGAAAGACTTGGAAAAGCTGCAATGTGTTTTCAAAACAAAAAAAAACACAAAAAAAGATCATAAAAAGGAAGCATGAGAACTGAAATACAAACTTGTCTCCATGTTATGAATAATGTATTTATTCTGTACAAACCCTTGATGTATAAGGCAATGATAACTGTAGTGATTGTTGTAGCAGTTTACTTCAGTGACAGTGTAGTACAAATTCTATTTACTTCTGTGCAACTTCTGTCCTGTTGGTTGTAAAACCTTATTTCAGAACAACGGCTGTATAACTGAAAGCATTTTAAGCAAAATTAAAAGAAGCATCGTATGAATAAAGAAGCATGGTACAAATAAAAAGAAGCCTATGATGTGAATAACAAATAGAAGCAGGATCAAAGTCACTGGTATCCATTGTGTCATATGCAGCTAAAGAAAATCAAGTAAAATGCAGAGAAAGCACTTTTCCTGCTGTTTATGAGTCGTTAGATATAAATCTGAAAGGCAACTTGTCCAGAATTTGCCACAAATAATCCCTAGCTTCTCGGACCCCCACAGAGGAATAACTTCTAACCAAAGTCATATTGTAACGCAACTGTCTTGGGTTTTATATCTGAGATAATGCACTCAGTAATGTCTTGCAAGATCTGCCTTGTGGGTGTCCCGATTCCTCTGTTAATGTGAATGACATTACATCTACCAGGTACACACGCAGAAGGGGCTAATGCATTATAAGCCCATATTTCCATTTTATATTTCCTATGAAAACCACTCCCTTCTAAGTGGAATATTATGTGTTCAGGCTTCCTCCAAAACTGAGTTTTCAGTAAACTTTGAAGAGAATCTGAATTCACACCTATTACAGGGAAGCCAAATCTGGTGGACTATGGGATCTATATTACAGGGAAGCCAAATCTGGTGGACTATGGGATCTAACGGATTCTTTCTTCTGGCCCTCAGGTGTTGCATTCCCTTGACACCAGGTCTGACCAATGGTGGGGCTAGGCATCCCCAAAAAACCACACCACATGTACATACACACAGTATACAGCCACAGCTGACTACCAACAAAGAGATCAGCACCTTTACAGTCTACACATACACACCAACAAGACTCATATAAACATACAAATGGTCTGATCCTCTTCTTGCTCACAGGCTGATCAGACTGAAAGCTTGCCAGTAGATCTCCCACCCAAACACATGCAAACACGTCCCTCCAGTAGCTGTTCCAGACCAGCGGTCTCCAGCAGCTGGCTCCCAGACCCTTGGTCCCTCCACTGTCCCAACCTGTGGTCTCTCTGGTAGCTGGCTCCTACACCTCTTCTGCTCACCAGTTAGTACAACTTTAAAGTCATATTAGAATCTCCCACAGAGATGGGTCCATTCATCAGCTGGTGTTAGATGCTCGGTCTGTTCAATGGCTGGTATCCAGACAATCAATCTCTCCAGTTGCTAGCTCTCAGACCTGTCGGTTCCTCCAACCCCTGGTCTCTATCTCTGGTTGCTGGCGCTCAGACCATTCACCGTACTCACCAGCTAGCCTGGCTTGAAATCTGCTAGCAGATCGTACATACACATATGCACACAGAATAGAGAGCACGCTCACATAGGAAAACATTTAATTGAGTTTGACAAGAAGATAGGATACACTGTGATGACCAGCCACAGGGCATAGCCTGACAAAAAATACTGACAGCAGCTTGACTGTGCAGCTGACCTCTTTTATGCTCTCTCTTCTCCATTTTCGCATGCCTGTTCTTCCCGCATCTATCTTGATCTCTCCCTTTGACTGTCCTTGGCTCTCCCCTAAACATCCCAAAATAAGTTTAGCGCTTTCCCACACATCCTTAAAACATCCCATAATAAGTTTTATGTGATCCTACAAGCCCTGTCAAATATCCCATTGTGAGTTTGCTCTTTCCCATGAAATCCATGATAACCAGTTACAGAGCTCTGGCTGAACCTCCTCAAGGCATTGAGTGGTTCCTTTACGGTCCCATCTATCAGTGATCTAAGGGTTCTGTGCTTTGTTACTGTCTTGTTATCTCCTCTTCCTCATGGTTTGGGTATCTGAGAGTTTATCTATTACTCATCCTGTCTCGTCTTAGTCTTTCATGCTGAACAACCAGTAACCAGCTATCCTTACATTCCATACATCTTTAGAGGGACTTGGAAAAAACCCTGATCAAATTGATCCTTTTTATCAGATAAATTAATAGTTGGGACAGAGCCTGAGTTGCTGTTCCTCTACAAAGCAAATGCGGCTACTTGAAACACAACGCTATTCAACCTGTGGCTGGCGAATTTCATTCAATCCAAAGCAGTAAGACCACAGTCCCGAGAATATCTAGTCTCTCTACTCAGACTTGAAATAGCAAAGAGATAGCTAAACAGCTTATAAACAAAGAGGTTGTACCTTTTGCAAGTAAGAGTCCTAAACTAATCTTTAGGCTTCTCTCTGAGTCTCAGAAAACACTTTACCTAAAAAGCACTGGTGAAACACTAGTTTTGCAGCATAACACTTGGGTACTGCAGCCAAGTTCATGCTGAAGGACACTGGTCAACAAATTGTCTGTCAGGGGAAGCCAAGGACTCAGACTATGAAGTAGAAGTCTTGCCATTGCCTGCCACCAAAACAAGAAGTTTTTCTTTCTGTAGTCAGGAAAACTCTGGGATTTTTTAGTGATTTACAGTCAGATGAACAGCAGAAGGAAATACCCTGAACTTTGAGTTGTGTTCTAGTCTTGCAAACCTCATGGTGCCTCATGTGAACCAAGAGCAAACAAGATTTGTGAGAATCCCTGAGCAGCAATAGAAGCTGCTTTTTTAAGGCACGTATCACCTAGCAACAGGGAAAGGGTACACATTAACTGGCATTAATAATAGCTGCTATGGGAGGAAAGCAGAAGCCCAAACATTGGCCCAGCAGCAAGTACAATTAGGTTGCCCTCTTACTGCAAGCTCCACAGCATGGATACAGGAGATGGCTGTTGATTTATTTTCCCTAAGCAGAGCAAAAGCTAGGTGAAAAGTACATAAAGAAGGAATTATGCTATGCTGTGCAAAATTTCTGTTTGGTTTGAGAGCATGTGAGCCAAGAAAATAATCACTGGATAGTGCAATGGAAAGAGAAGGGGAACAACAGGCAACATACATTGCTATAGCTATTACTCACCACATTATTTATTATCCATATACAGATATTATTCATGAACTGGGAAAAAGCAAGGAAAGGACTCAAGTAAATCAAGTGACAGACTATCAAAGCTTACCGGCATGAATTCTAGTAGGGTTCAGGAGCTCCCAGCCTTCCCTGCCATACACGTAATATTTATGTCTGTTACTAAAGCCTCCATGCAAAAACAACACCAGCCTTATTTTAGATTCTAACTTAATATTACAGAGAGGACAGCTGACAATCTACTGATTAATTTATAAGTCTGAGGGCTCATCATGTTGTTGATTTCAATTTATCATTTGGACCGATTTAGTGGAATGTAAAGAGACACTGTTGTTTTACCCTCAGAAGGAGCCAAAGACTTGGGCATCTGGCATTTGAAATCTTTCAGTCTTAGATTAACTTCAACTGCTTTTGCAACTGCCTTTTGCATTTTCTTCAGAAGATGACAACTGGGCTAGCCTTGGTCATCACAGACCACTAGAAATTTCCAAACACTAAAAAAGACATTTTAAAACTTGCCCCCTCTTTAAGAGTACCCATTAGCAGGAATTGGAAGTGTTTTCCTTAGTGACACCCGCTAAAGTACATCTAGCACAGATGCATGGTGTTTTGGTTTGGCCTGGATAAATGCCAGATGCCCACCAAAACTGCTCAATCACTCCCCCTCCTCCACTGGACAGGGGGGAGGAAATATGATGAAAGGCTTGAGGGTCGAGATAAGGACAGGGAGAGATCACTCGCCATTTACCATCATGGACAAAACAGACAAGTTGGGGAGAAAATGGAGTTTAATTCATCACCAATCAAATCCAAGTAGGATAACAAGAAATAAAACTAGATCTTAAAACACCTTCCCCCCACCCCTCCCTTCTTCCCGGGCTCAGCTTCACTCCCATTTCTCTCCCTTCTACCCTGAGCGGTGCAGGGGGACAGGGAATGGGGGTTATGGTCAGTTCATCATATGTCTCTGCCGCTCCTTCCTCCTCAGGGCGAGGACTCCTCACACTCTTCCCCTGCTCCAGTGTGAGGTCCTTCTAATGGTAGACAGTTCTCCACAAACTTCTCCAATGCAAATCCTTCCCACGGGCTGCAGTTCTTCATGAACTGCCTCTGAGTGGGTCCTTCCCACGGGATGCAGTCCTTCAGGAACAGGCTGCTCCAGCCTGGGTCCCCCATGTGGTCACAAGCCCTGCCAGCAAATCTGCTCCAGTGTGGGCTCCTCTCTCCACGGGTCCACAGGTCCTGGCAGGAGCCTGCTCCAGCACGGGCTCCCCACGGGGTCACAGCTTCCTCCAGGCATCCACCTTCTCCAGCGTGGAATCCCTTCTGTGGGCTACAGGTGGATATCTGCTCCACCATGGACTTCCGTGGGCTGTAGGGGGAAAACATGCCTCACCATGGTCTTTCAGCACGAGTTGCAAGGGAAGGCTCTCTGCTCTGGCATCTCAAGCACCTCCTCCCCCTTCTTCTTCACTGACCTTGGTGTCTACAGAGTTGTTTCTTTCACATCGTCTCACTCCCCTCTCTCCACTGCTGTCTCATTGCAGTTTTTTTTTTCTTCCCCTTCTTAAATCTGGTTATCACAGAGGCGCTACCACCATCGCTGATTGGCTTGGCCTTGGCCAGTGGTGGATCCATCTTAGAGCCGGCTGGCACTGGGTTTATCAGATATGGGGGAAGCTTCTGGCAGTTTCTCACAGAAGCCACCCCTACAGCCCCCCTACTACCAAAACCTTGCCACACAAACCCATAACACATGGACACCCAGAGATACTCAGTTCGCACTTGTGCTGTTCTCCTGATGACATAAGGTGTAGCAGGGCCTCAGCTAGTGTCACACAGATCTCTCATAGCACAGAATATGTATGAGAAAAATCTGTGCTACTAGGAAGGGAAAAAGAGGCTTAAGGTATCCTTAAGTGTGTTTTATCTCAAAGAACGATGGACAGTGTAGAATACATTTTTTCTTGTTTTCATACCTGTGCACCTGGATTTTACGAAGTGATCAGCCAGTACTTCAGTCCTATGGCCTTACCTGCAACCATATCCAATTAATATTTTGGTGAAAACCAGAAAAAAATGGGTTTCTCTTACAGATGTCATCCCAATTATCCACTTAGAGCCCTCAAGTTAACTGGTGGGAGAAATATTGTAGACAGGCTTTCAGAAAACTCAGATGTATTTGGAGGCTACCATTGTACTTGTACTATAAGAAAAGTACATGGTTTCAATAGTTTTCTAAAAAGCGAAAGTATTAAACG